AATTTTAATAATATTGTTATATTATATATCATAATTATATAATATATTATATAATAATAATTTTATTATATTATATTACATTTTATATATTATATTGATAAATAAAATATTAGTGTTATATATAGCATAAGGATAAATATGTCAACATGAAAATATTCTCATTCCCATTAGGGTTAAAACATTTTTTTGAGCACTTATTAGGGTTGTGCACGGTCTGACTTGAATCGGCAGTTATATAGGACCCGTTTAGTTCAATGATTTAAAATTTTAATTTGAGTTTAGATGTAATTTTATATGAGAATTTTTTATTATAGTAAAAAAAGTTAGATGTGATTATTTTTTAGAGCATTTTACTATAGCAAAACTCAAATTCTAAACTGAAATCAGAGAAATAAACGAAACCATAATTTATAAACAGTTTAAAATTAAAATTGACCATTTTTTTCACGGTTTAGTCAGACTTGAAATGTTTTTCTAACAGTCAAATCTAGACCGTTACGTGTGTGTATGTATATATATATAACTTTTAATACTTTAAAATTGAACTCATTTCTTAAAATAAAATAAAAACTCATTTTAAGCTCTTAAGAAATTTAACTTTTTGTACAACCTAAAAGTGGATTCTTAAAATTTACACTCCTTGTTGCTCGTATATTTCTGGATTTCAAATTTGAGTGGAATTGAATATTGAATATTGAAAGAAAACATTGAAAGAAGTAAAATAAAAATAAAAAAACTCGGAAATGATATTTATTGCCCTCAACAACGCTCTCATACATGTCATTTGATTAGAATCGTTAAGAAATAAGATGCAATTTTTAATTGGATCTTAATTATAAAAATTTTAAAGTTGAATGGATTAATTGTCAGGAAAAAAAATAAAGACTAAATTACTAAATTTAAAAAGTTGATAGAGTGTTGTAAAAAAAAGCCTTATTTAAAACAATGGTTCTAAAGCATCCGATTAAATTGAAAATGTTAACACATGCATCTCAATCTCATCCGTCTGAGCAGTCCAAAAATGACGAAGTGCAAAAACAAATGGAGAATACGAAGAACAAGGAAGAAGAATTTCAAAAGTACGGAATAACGAATGATGCATATTATGATGTGTTTGTATCTACCATTATAAATATTCATTATTAAATAGTAAGATTCAAGTTAATATTGTCGTACTAAAGTTGTAAGTGTAACAGACCTACATTTATTTATTATTATTTATTTATGATTAGTATCATCTTCTTCAAAAACTATTGTTAAAAGGTGTTAAAAAATAGCATTGATCAATTCCTAAAAAATTCTAGGTGGGTTGATTTGATTTGTGTTATGTTAAACTTAAAAAATAAAACTAAAGTTAACCTTTTGTATTTATAAACATTTAATGCAAAGTATTGTAAAAATATGCTGTGGAATTTATTTTCATTGTTCAAAAGTAAAATGTTATTATCTATCGACATCCCTCACTGTATTACTCTATTAATTTGAGAATCTTTAGCCATAAGTTTCATTCTCACTATTATAACTTACATTATGGGGGATAATAATAATGATCTTTTTCTTTTTATATTTAGGGACCATTCAAAATTTAATGAACAAAATGAGAGTTTTTAAAATGTGAAAAGTAAAATGAGAATCATTCGAGCCCGTTTGGTTGGAGGATTCGTTCTCTGATTCGAATCATAGTTCATGGTTCGCTACAGTATTTTCTCTCATAAAAAACACACATAAATCAAAAATTGTTATAATTCATGAACCAAGCGGGCTCTCTTTGACAATACAAATGAGATTGATACAAAAGAACAAAAAATAAAAAGGTTACTTATGGTATTGTTTAGTTGATGATTCCATGTTATAAAAGTAATTTATTTGGGTTTTTTGTATATGATACTAAGGACTCGTTCAGTTTGCTAATTTGAATTTTTAATTTGAGTTGAGATGTTACTTTATGAGAGAGCTTTTAACTATAACAAAATTAAAATTAAAAATTTAAATCAGTGAAATGAACAATGTGTAATATTTTAATTCACGGCACCCGTGTTGTTTAAAGTTTCCAGACACACCATTTCTTAAACATAGTTTATTACACCAACTCGTAAGTCTAGTTCTATTTACAATTCCAATTCAAATGCACAAGTTAACGACGATATAAAAGAATCCTATTTATCTGGGGGATTTTAGTACAAATGTCTCGAAACCACACAGTAGGTAATAATTTGGTCCAATTTTTACTTTTAATAAAAACTACTCCAAAGTCTTAAAACAAAAAATTGCACATGCAAGTACGTATCTGATATTTGGGGGTGTTTTAGTAAAATAATCATAATCTATATTCTGATAAAATTAATCATAATGCGGTTTAAGAAAGTAAAATGGCCGATCCCTCCCCCAAAAAACTATTTTTTTTTTCTTTTCATCCTGGAGTTTTCCATCTTGCCCATACTTGTAGAGAGAAAAGAATTTCAATGACAATAACAAACCAGAAACGCATACATGCATCAAGTAAATAGGTTGTTCATCATTCAAACATGCAAATTTTATATTTGCATGCAAATTTGACCAACTTCCACAAAAATCAAAATTTACCCATAGAGAGTGTTAAAGAAAAATGACAAGAAATCAAAAAAAAAAAAAAAAAAAAAAAAAAAAAAAAAAAAAAAAAAAAAAGCCAAAGCAAATACTAGAACTCAAGGCTGTTTTATTTCTCATTTAGTTTCTTGATTATGGCCACGAGTGCCACTGCCACCCCGAATACCACATGCGGACTCAAAGCCAAGGAGTTTCCCTTAATCATCTTCTCTTCATCCTGATCTCTTTCTCTGAGCCATTTTTGTCTTCTTCTTCTTCTCAACTATACAATACAACAATTTTTGGCTCAAGTACTTGTACATTTATAGAGAGTAGTATGCAAACAATAATAAGGGTAGGCAAAAATTCAAGAGATGGATATAGACGTAAAATTATCTTATTATTTTCCTGCTCTACAATATAGGATCATTGAAAAGGTTAAAAGATAAAAAAAAAAAAGGTAATAATTTGGTCCAATTTTTACTTTTAATAAAAACTACTCCAAAGTCTTAAAACAAAAAATTGCACATGCAAGTACGTATCTGATATTTGGGGGTGTTTTAGTAAAATAATCATAATCTATATTCTGATAAAATTAATCATAATGCCAAACTCATTATCGGAGGAATATTCATCGATTTCTGAAACGCCAAACTCATCGTCTGATGATTCTTCAAAGAATGCCATTTTCTTTGGCCCAGGGAATGGCTTGCCTTGGTTTTTATAAATTATAAAGCGATTTTTGGTAATAGTTTCAATTTAATTGTGTTTATTTTTAATTTAGTAGATCTCTTGATTTTAGGACATTTGTTGGATAACTTATCCAATTGTCCAATTGTAACTCGTTTGAATATGTTTTTTTTCTCTTCTTTTGTTTTATTTTATTCTTTAAATTTTAAATAATAACGAGGTGTTTTTTTTTTTTTAAAATAATCATAATCTATATTCTGATAAAATTAATCATAATGCGGTTTAAGAAAGTAAAATGGCCGATCCCTCCCCCAAAAAACTATTTTTTTTTTCTTTTCATCCTGGAGTTTTCCATCTTGCCCATACTTGTAGAGAGAAAAGAATTTCAATGACAATAACAAACCAGAAACGCATACATGCATCAAGTAAATAGGTTGTTCATCATTCAAACATGCAAATTTTATATTTGCATGCAAATTTGACCAACTTCCACAAAAATCAAAATTTACCCATAGAGAGTGTTAAAGAAAAATGACAAGAAATCAAAAAAAAAAAAAAAAAAAAAAAAAAAAAAAAAAAAAAAAGCCAAAGCAAATACTAGAACTCAAGGCTGTTTTATTTCTCATTTAGTTTCTTGATTATGGCCACGAGTGCCACTGCCACCCCGAATACCACATGCGGACTCAAAGCCAAGGAGTTTCCCTTAATCATCTTCTCTTCATCCTGATCTCTTTCTCTGAGCCATTTTTGTCTTCTTCTTCTTCTCAACTATACAATACAACAATTTTTGGCTCAAGTACTTGTACATTTATAGAGAGTAGTATGCAAACAATAATAAGGGTAGGCAAAAATTCAAGAGATGGATATAGACGTAAAATTATCTTATTATTTTCCTGCTCTACAATATAGGATCATTGAAAAGGTTAAAAGATAAAAAAAAAAAACTACCTCATTCACATATGACCTGTCTGAAATGCCAAACTCATTATCGGAGGAATATTCATCGATTTCTGAAACGCCAAACTCATCGTCTGATGATTCTTCAAAGAATGCCATTTTCTTTGGCCCAGGGAATGGCTTGCCTTGGTTTTTATAAATTATAAAGCGATTTTTGGTAATAGTTTCAATTTAATTGTGTTTATTTTTAATTTAGTAGATCTCTTGATTTTAGGACATTTGTTGGATAACTTATCCAATTGTCCAATTGTAACTCGTTTGAATATGTTTGTTTTCTCTTCTTTTGTTTTATTTTATTCTTTAAATTTTAAATAATAACGAGGTGTTTTTTTTTTTTACCCCTAAAGAAGGTTGATCGTATCGAACAATATGAGTACCAGAACTCAGATCCCAACATCGTTTTCAATTTTTGCAAAATAACATGGATCGTGATTTTTTTTTTCTCCCTGAAAATAGACAGATCAGATATTATTATCCTTTGTGGGACTCAAACTTTTTCACGTAGGGATATATATGCGAAAATTGATGGATTTTTTAAGTGCATTTATCGTAAATTTCCCTAGTTTTGTTAATTTTTTTTTTTAAAAATCATTTTTTAAAATCTTAAAATAAATAATTTACGTAATTGAAAAATTAAATTAAAATTATTTCAAAAAATTTAAAATTGATACATTACACGTCATTGATAAAATAATGATTTATTAAAACCAATCAAGTATTTATGAAAGTCGATTCTCTAAAACAAAACAAAAAAATCTTAGTTTCAGAATAATGGTTGCAATGGGAGAGATTCATGGTTAAACTTAAACATGCTCAAGAATGGAACTTCCAAGCCTTGTTAATACGCGACAAAAACTACAAACATCTAAATACACTGGTTTCAGCTATACTGCTTTTGCAAAAACATCATTTTCACGAGTGCTATAACACTCATGAGGAGAATCCAAAGAATTTCTGCAGGTAAAAGAACCCAAGAAACTTAGCCAGCAATGTCCGGAGGAATATCCTAGGTAAAGCATCCACCACCAAAGTGCCCACTTTTAGTTTCCACTCCCAAATCCACGAGGCCCCGGCCTTGCCGGTGCTGAGTCTACAAACTGCCTCCTTGTCCCTGACCTTCGCTTCCTCCTTGCAGTACCAGGTGGAGCCTAAGAAGCCAAAAGGAATATCAATATTTCATGTAAGATCATATTCAGATAAAACAGTGTTCCTTGCCATTGTTACTAATACAAGCAATGGAGAACTAAATGAAAACCAGTATGATCATGAATATACACAAAGATTATATGCACAGAGAGGAAAACAAGGCACCTTTTCTTCGGCTTTGAGCGCATCCTCGAGATTGCTTAGTGAAGGAATAGAACCACCTTCCATTACACCCATCAAGTTTTTCATACGAACACGCATTTGAAAGAGTTGAGCAACAAGTTGGCTCACCTGGCATAGTTTCAAAAATAACGTGATTTTATGAAATTTGTATACTTCAGTGAATACAACCGTTGAAGAACACCTAATATTAGACATTTATCTTTTATCAAGTGCCTATTACAGATACCTGCTGCTCAGTTTTCCCAGAGTCTTGAGCAACTCTTTTTCTTCTGACAGGGGACTCTGCTAATAATTCTGGCTTCTCTCTTTCCTCTGCAAAAAAAAATAAGAGAGAAGTCAAAAAGGCGAAAGGTCAAATGTGGATTAGATCAAACAGAAAAAGAAGAAGCATAAACAAGAATATGCTAATTCACAGATGAAAACATTTTAATAACAGGATGAATAAGAAGAGACCAGGTGTCATTGCTTCAATCATTGATTCCATCATCTTTAAGTTCTTCTCTGCATCACGAATTTGTGCAGGAGTAATCTGTTTGTATATGCATTGCGAAGTTAATTCTATAGCTACAGATACAACCAAAGTTGTTGAAGCACCTAACATATCAGTAGATTTTAGATGTGCAGAAGTCGAAAATTATGCTTTCATACCTTCCCCATACCGGGAATCATTCCAATAACACGACTCACAGATCCCATGCGTGCAACAGCCCGAGTTTGTTTTAAGAAATCATTGAAGTCAAACTTTGCACTCATTATCTTCTTTTGCAATTCCTCTGCATCCTCTTGTTTCATCTATATGTAGAGCATAGATAACTCACTAGTACATCGTTTGGTTTCAATTATTGAAACGCATGACTCAAATATATACATAAAACTTACAACTTCTTGCGCCTTCTCCACAAATGAGAGAACGTCTCCCATTCCTAATATGCGGCCGGCCATTCGGTCAGGGTAAAAAGGCTCAAGGTCCTCCATCCGCTCACCTCGTCCAACAAGCTTGATAGGCTTCCCTGATACCTGACATCACAAGAACATAAGTGGATATAACCTTAACAATTAGCGAATTATTCTTTTATTCTCCTGACATGCAGAATGACAAGATTGACAAAATAAGATAAAAATTAAAAGTTCATATGATGCAAATAGTAACTGATTGATGTACAAAAAGGAATGTACAGCTCAAAGAAAAAAGGTATGATAATTTTTCTTCAAAGAATAATCACATGCAAATATGATTTAAGTGAGGTCCATATTCTAGGTAAGGACAAGGCAAACCTCTTGAACACTCAAAGCTGCTCCTCCTCTGGAATCACCATCTAGCTTTGTCAAAATAGCTCCAGTAATCCCAATCTCTACGTTGAATGTCGTCACCAAGGCTGTAAAGATAGTCAAAACCCACATATGTTAAAACAAATCATCAAATTTGAAACTTATTATTTCATGTGAATTTATATGGACAAGGGAAACAAAATGAAGGCTCTGCTGAGCGTTTAAATACAATCCATCTAGTAGAACAAGAATAAAGTTCTCAAACCATTTCAGTTCAGCCTCAAACAAGTAATGAATACCTGCAGCTTCTTGGCCTGTCATTGCATCCACAACAAGCAAAACTTCTGTGGGACTCAGTGCCCGCTTCACATCTTTCAATTCATCCATCATTGTTTTGTCTATCTGTTTAAAAATAAGAGAGCAAACAATGTAGAAGTAAGATCAATCTATGAGTAGTCAAACTGCCAGAGAAGTATAAAGATGATCTAAGAGAACTAGATAATTATTACAGTATAGATGTATTACCTGAAGCCTTCCTGCGGTATCTACTATTACGACATCTATGTTCTTCTTCTTGGCCTCCTCTAAACCTTGCCTAGCTATTTCTGAAGGTTTAACGTCAGTCCCTGCTGTATATACAGGAACATCCACCTGTTACAAGCTACAATTCAATATGAGGTTGAACAGAAAAATAACGTTTGTCAACTTTACTGGAAATGAAAATTCAGTACCTGTTGACCCAAAATAACAAGTTGATCAATAGCAGCAGGTCTGTACACATCTCCAGCAACTAGCATGCAATTCTTCCCCTGAGTTTGTTTTCATGTTGTATCGGTAAGGTTAGGCAGGAAAAAGAAGTAAGTTTACTCTAGACATGACTATAATACACACAAGAAAGAGGAATGATTGTGGAAATGCACCTGTTTTTTGAGGTAATAAGCCAGCTTTGCACATACTGTTGTCTTTCCAACTCCTTGTAGACCAGCCAATAAGATAACAGTGGGGCCAGATTTTGAAAAAACCAGTTCAGAAACCTCACCACCCATCAATTTCACTAGCTCATCATGCACAATCTACTCAAAAAAAAAAAAAAAAAAGGAGAAAACTTTGATGCTCATCACCAGTTAAAATTCTGCATATAAACTAATTTCTGAAATCTGTACTAAACCAGACTACTTTCCCATAATTTGTACTGAATCAATGAATAAGGCTTTCTACATGAGATGGGTGTCTTTGCTCATCTAAGTTGAACCTAACTGAAAAGGATCTAATGACAAAACTCTAAAGAAACCAATAAAATGTTTCATAAGCTTTAATTGAAAAAGAAAAAACAAAAACGCACCTTGACCAGTTGCTGATCTGGTTTGACACCGCGAATAAGGCCGGTACCAACAGCTTGGTCACTAACTGCTTGCACAAACCTTCTCACAACAGGAAGGCTTACCTGTTAAAAGATCATCATTTTAACATTTCATCTTATGCATAAAGCTTAATATACATGTATATACACACACATAGGTTTTTGGCACGGTCATCTAACATATACATTTCAACGACTCAATCACAACTCCAATTTTTACTACAGTGTTTTCTCTCACAAAAATCACATCTAACTTTTTCTGCTACAATGTTTACTCTCACATAAAGTCGCATATCAGCTCGAATTGAAAACTCGAAACTGCGAAACGAACGAGGTCTTAACATGTTACACCTTTACAGCGTCAGTGTTACGTTAAATTCATGCTACGCTTCTTACTTCTATAAGATACGTGAAATTTGGTCCCGTTTCGTAAACAAGTCCTATATGTATGTAAGTATTAAAATTTATTATGGCTTACATCTGCTTCCAATAGAGCCCTCCTAATATCTCGCATAGGCTCCACAATGTTTTCCTTGGTCAAAACCTCTGACGCACACAAAATATCACAAATAAGCATAATTTTTTACACTATAATTCAAAAACGAATCGAAAAAATCAAACAAACAAAAAAAAAAAACATCAAAAAGAATAAACCTTCTCCTTTGAGCTTGTTCCAAGCTGATTCTAAGCCGCTGGTCAGTTGCCCGAACATTTCCGCTCTTATGACGCCACGCATTTCCTTTTTGTTGCTCACATGCTTGGAATTCACCCAACTCCATATCTCTCTCTGTGAAAGAAAAAATAAAACTTCAAACGAACTAATTTTCCCGAACAGATTCTCGGCAACCAAACAGAGAAGTAATCGAGTGCGTTTACCGTGAACAAGTTCCTGGAAGACAGCGTGGTGGAGAGGTGCCTGCCGCTCCAAGCGGAGGAAAATCTGGGCGAAGTCTTGGAGTTGCAGAGAGTTTTGGTGGTAGAGAGAGAAGGAGAAGAAGCTACGGAGGAGGAGAAATGGCGGGAAGCCACAGCCTGGAACTGTATGGCTTCCATGGCCGATAACAGAAATTACTCTTCTTCTGATGAATTGTTGTGATATATCCACAACGCAATCTGATCGTTCTATCCATTTTGGCTATTTTAGCGGTTTATATACGGTGCGGCCTACGTTGTTCTCTTGCTCCCGCGGTGATCAATCACCGCAATTTTAATGATGAACATATAACTTGGGACAAATTGCAAACGTTCCACTCAATTTTGTTGGCTATGTCAATTTGGACCCTGAATTTTTGAAATGTGAGAAAAACACGTCCCAAACTTGACAAATTGCAAACAAACTCTTTTGTCACTAGTGGTTAAGGGACAATGTTTTTTCTTTTGAAACATTGGTTAAGGGACAAATTGATACTAATGACAAAGCCTAAATGGAGTCTCCGTAATTTTTACTGCTCAAGAAAACCAATGAACAATAGAAATCAATGATTATCAAACCGATTGGTTTTTACTTCAACTAGTTTAGTTTGATCAATTTGGAAGTCTCTTTTATAGCAGTAAGCACAATGTTTATGTCTTTTTGAATTTATGTTACAATTCCTTTGTAATCCAGATTTATGTAGCTTTTTGTTGACACTTGATTAATCTATTTGTGTAACATGAATCTAAAACTCTAATATTTATATCATAAATCAAAAAGTAAAATTTATTTGCCGCATTCCTCTTTCACAACATAATTTAGATCGTTCTATCCATTTAGACTAGCTTTTTTTTTTTTTTACCAATTTAGATTACATAAATAGAATCTAAGATTATCTTCAATGTAAATACTAATGTCAATTGTATATTTATCATCAAAAAGTGTGTAATGATATGTTAGTTTTATTTTTACTCTAATGTATAATGCTATTTGAAATACTAAATTTACTTTTTCTTATAATTATTAAGCTTTGAAAGTTGTAAAAGTAAACTTTTATATTTAAAATAATTAGAAAATGTAAAAATTGCATTAATTACATGAACAAATAAACATTTCAACCAATAACAATCAAATGTCAAATTTCTCATATGCTATATTTAGTAAAAAATTTACCACAAAGTATAGCATATGAAAAATTTTACACAACAAATAACATTGCATTTAAGAGTGTTTTTAATACTCAAATACAAATTTGTAATTGATATATCAATTATAGCATTACATTAGAAATACTTTAAAGCATCATTTTAGATATTGTAGACGAACTTAACGAGCATTTTTATTTGTCTTGGAGGTTTTAATCCCACTCTAATTTGTCGATTTTTGATACATTAAAATACTGTTTTGATTTTTTTTTTTTTTTTTTTATAAAAAATCTGATGCCCACATATACATTTCTATTTAATATCAGTTGGTTGAGTATGATTGGAATTAAAGGTGTTTTCCAAAACTTCAAACGCACCGTTTCGCTTTATTTTCGTTTTGAGAAAACACAAAAGAAGCGGACATGGCAGTTGGAAATAGGTTGTTAACCGTTATACATGACTGTTCAAAGCCACTTCAGAATCAGAGGCCTGAATTCTCACTCCGCCATAGCCAGGAGCTTGCTCACAACCACCGCCATTCCCTGGAACACCCACCTTAGAGAACTAGCGAAGCAATGCCTCTTCTCCGAAGCTTTAAATCTCTACCGTCGGATGCTCCGTTCGGGCCAATCGCCGAACGCTTTCACCTTCCCTTTCGTCCTCAAATCCTGCGCTTCCCTGTCTCTCTCCACCGCCGGAAAACTACTCCACGGCCACGTTATCAAGATCGGGTGCGAGCCCGAACCCTTTGTGCAGACGTCTCTAATTTCAATGTACTGTAAATGCTGTCTGGTGGATAATGCACGCAAGGTGTTTGATGAAAATCCACAATCGAGAAATTTGACCGTTTGTTATAATGCTCTGATATCTGGGTACACGTTGAATTCCAAGTTTTTGGATGGGATTGTTTTGTTTTCCAAGATGAGGGAGACAGGTGTCGCGGTTAATTCAGTTACGATGCTGGGTTTGATTCCGCGGTGTGCGGAACCTGTGTATTTGGCTCTTGGGATGTGTTTTCATGGTTTTTGTGTTAAGAGTGGGCTGGATATTGATTTTTCTATTGGGAACTGTTTGCTCACAATGTACGTGAAATGCGGATCAGTTCAGTATGCCCGGAGCTTGTTTGATGCCATGCCTGAGAAGGGTCTGATTACTTGGAATGCGATGATTTCTGGATACGCACAGAATGGATTTGCCACAGAAGTTTTGGACCTTTACCGGGAAATGAAACTATGTGGCATTTATCTCGATCCCGTGACGCTTGTTGGGGTTTTGTCGTCTTGCACTCATCTTGGAGCCCATGGTGTTGGCCGTGAGGTGGAACAGCAGGTTCAGCTTTGCGGGTTCGATTCAAATCCCTTTTTGAAAAATTCTCTTATTAATATGTACGCTAGGTGTGGAAATTTGGTGAAAGCTCGTGAAATTTTCGATTCTGTGCTCGAGAAAAGTATAGTTTCTTGGACAGGAGTTATAGGGGGATACGGAGTGCACGGACATGGGGAGATTGCCGTGCAGCTTTTCGAAGAAATGATTAAGACTGGAATCAGACCTGATAAAACAGCGTTTGTAAGCATTATCTCTGCCTGCAGCCATTCGGGAATGACTGATAAGGGACTCGAATATTTTTCTGCAATGAAGAGTAAATACGGTTTGCAGCCAGGTCCGGAGCATTATTCTTGTGTGGTAGATCTTTTAGGACGAGCTGGTCGGCTGAAGGAAGCCAAGGATCTTATCAACTCAATGCAGGTAAATCCAGATGGTGCAGTATGGGGAGCCCTCTTGAATGCTTGTAAAATTCATAAAAATGTAGAGCTAGCGGAGTTAGCTTTTGAACGGATCATTGAGCTTGAACCTACCAATATCGGTTATTATGTTTTGTTGTCGAATATATATTCTGATGCAGAGAATCTGGAGGGGGTTTTAAAGGTTAGAGTGATGTTGAGAGAGAGACAGCTCAAAAAGGAGCCAGGGTGTAGCTATGTTGAACTCAAAGGGAAAGTTCATATGTTCTTGGCTGGAGATAAAACGCATTCTCAGACAGCTGACATATATGGAATGTTGGATGAGTTAGAAAATTCTGTGAAGCAACTTGGTGGGCCTAATGGGGAGGATCATAAGAGGCGAAAAGGTGAAGAACAATTGATTGGTGAAGGTGTGCATAGTGAGAAGCTGGCAATTGCATTTGGACTTGTGAATACTAGTCCAGGGACTGAGATCGTTGTGATAAAGAACCTAAGAGCATGCGGAGATTGCCACTTGTTTATAAAGCTGGTTAGCAAAATAGTGGACCGTAAGTTTGTTGTGAGAGATGCGACTCGCTTCCACCATTTCAAAGATGGGGTTTGTTCTTGCAGAGACTACTGGTAGCAGTAGGTGGTAACAATGTATTCCAGAGCCTGCAGCCCAAGCCCCGCATCGGATATGCACTGCGAAGACCATAAACATTTAAATGAGAGCCTGTGAACTTGAAGGCACCTTCAGCTAGTCACTATTAGGCAAGGTTGCGAGGTTTTACAAACTGCCATTCTAAAGCCGTGTCTCTAAGTACATGAAAATCATGCATTGCCAATTGGTGTTGCAATGCTGAACACAAAGCAAGAGGATGAGAATTTTCGCTCCGATCTTTGACAAATACAAGTGAAAGTGGTTACGGGTTTTGTAGAAAGTGATTGAAATTTGGTTGCAGACTTATCACCAATGTCATCTTTGAAAGGGTAGTACAAATTTTACTGAAATTTTGGAAAGAGAAACCTTTTTCAAGGGTACTTAAGAACAGGATTGTACTGAATCAAAACCAGGTAGAAAGGTTTGAAAATGACGGTATCTAGCATCTAAGGATAGTCGTGGAAGCAAAGTTCTCCACTATGGCGGAAAATTTTGCCCTTTTTTTTGGGTAAGCAATTTGCATACATAATAAGATATATTCATTTAAAAAAAAAAAAAAGGTAAGATATATTCATTAAAAAAAAAAAGTCCGTATCTATTGTAATTCATTTACTCGAGTAAATAGTGGCAATTTTAAGTACAGTGGTAAATATAGGAATAGTTGTCATAATTTGTTAATTCCCTAGCAGCAAAAAAAAAATGTTAGTGTATCATGCCCTTTGGAGACATGAGTCACTGTGCAAACAAATATCTACTAAGATTCCTAACCTTGGCCATTTCAAGTGACTGTTTTAACGTATTTACACGAGAAAAGTAACCAACAAGCTTTTATAAACTTTAGTAAACAAAGATCTATCATGATGGAGTTATTATAAAGAGTCTTTGTCGCAAAAGGAATTAGGGAATCAATGGCTGTTTGTTTCTGGTCTCGTTTCATTTTTCATAATTTTTGAGAAAAAAAACAGAAAACGCATTTGGTGTAAAATTTTCTAAAATCAAAACTAAAAACACCCGTTTTCATTTTCTCTTTTTTTCTCATCTTTTTGAATGTTTTCCATTTTCATTTTTCTTGTCCCCCCGCCGCAGTTTTTATATATAATCATGTTTATAATATATTAAATATTAAATATATTATTATTTAATATATTTAATAATAATATAATATTATTATTTATTTAATATATTATTAATTTAAATATTATTACATGTTTTTAAAAATTAAACCGAAAATAAAGGCTCCGTTCATTTCGCCGATTTGAATTTAGAATTCGAGTTTTGTTACAGTAAAAAGCTCTCAGAAACAGTCACATCTAACTTTTTTGCTACAGTAAAAAGCTCTCACACAAAATCACATCTCAACTCGAATCAGCGAAGTGAACGGACCATCAATTTCATTTTTGTTTTCATTTTTATACAAAAAACAAAAACGTTTTGGAACCAATTCCAAATGCACCCAATAATTCTAAAACGGTCTTGAAATCTACAAGAATCCCTGGAGTTGGTCAAAGACATAATTCAAACCAGTGAACCACCAGACAAAACTTTGCTAGTGAATTTCGGATGCATTTTCCAGAAAAAATAAAAATAAAAATGGTGAATTGCTTATATCGAAGAACGGTTAGAATTTACATCCAGTCGCTTCACTACAACATAATTTCAAACCATATGTTTGAGATAAGAGTCCCTAAAAGAATATGACCATCTAAAATGATCACGTATATCCAGCGATCGCTACAACATATTAGTTCCAGTAATACATTCATCTTCAACAAATGGAATGGTTCTGCGCACAGACAATCTCAGCGGAAGAGGCTCCTTCCCTGCAGATAGCAGCACATCAAACTGTAACTATCACAAATGCAGTAAAATCATTTTCTTCTGATAACAAGAGAAGGGAAAAAAATTAATAAATAATAAATAAATTAATAAAAACCTCTACCTTCAACGAGTTTTGCCTTTTCCATGCAAATGGCAGCGTAGTGTGAACCATCCAACTCCATAAGTGCAAATTGCCAATTGCTTGTTAGGATATTGGGGTCATCAAATGACTCAACAATAATTTCAGATGCCTGATAGAGTATTAAAAAACGCGAAAGGTCAACATCTGAAGGAATTTACTCGCATACTATTCACTACGATCAACATGAAAACGCGATGTATGAAGAACTCAATGCAATAAAACATGGCAGATGACAGTATGCTACTACTTAGCCACTCCTATGCCCAAAATAATAGCCTGTTAATGTATGGGACAATTCCACGTTCACAAAGGATATAGGAATTTGGTTCTCTCTATGAAAGTAATTATGTTTGCAATGGTGTCAAATACCTTTTTATCCGTGTCCTTTAAGACGCGAATTTCTCCTTTAGGTATTACTGGCCTAAATCGAATGGTGAAGGTATTAAAAGGTGCAGCTGAGAAACCTCTCCCCAGTGCTTTCACATATGCCTCCTGGAAAGTGAAGTAAATTCAGTAAACAGTGGCTCAAGAAAACATATAGCAAGTATAATCTCAAAGTTCAATTACTTCTAAAGGAAAAAAGAAGTAACATACTTACATTGTACAATTCTTTGCTAATTGCTAAGTATTTAAGTAGGATTCTTGATAACGAACTTATTAAGAAGGATTTTTGTAACGATTTAACATCAAAACACTAATTGCTAACAATCTCAAAACTTCCAACATATGTCCACCAAAACGAACTAAGAGTATTGATTTTCATGTAAAATCCACAATTTCGCAAAATCTAGCCAAATACGTTATTCTAATTTGTTCATCATTATAGAATCTCACCAACCTTAAGAGTCCATAGCTTCATAAACTCCTGACGCTGGATTTCAGGATTCGTAATGGCAGACAAATGTTCCAACTCATGAGAAGAAAAGTACCGCCGAGCGAAAGCTAAGACATGACTTTTTATCTTCCGTGCCTTTTCTTCAACATCAATCCCAATCTACATTAGAACACAGTGATCTTAAGACACAAACAAGCCTATAAAACTTGAACCACCAAAAAAAATAAAACTACCCTTTAGACACACCAAATACTTACTTGCGCGTCCACAGTCACTCCACAAGCTATCAAAGAGGAAGTGTGTGAGATATTGAAATGCAATGGGGCTGGTTGCCAATCAGCATTTTCCCAATCTACCTACTCAAAAAATTCTACACAAAAATGTCAAAACCCATCAACCGAAAAGGAAATAAATAAATAAAAGGCCAAAATAAACAAGAAAATGAAAGCCCACCTCAGGCTTCCCGTAACTGTTCTTCCTGAACTTCAAGGATTTCGGGTCCACAAGAGAATTCGTCTGATCTAGTAAAAAAACATCACACAGTTATAACATTCAAAAGAGATGATAACAAAAACCCTCGTTATGTTTTATCGAGATGTTGCATTCCGTCCAATGTTTTCATAAAAATTTTAGTTAGGGGAAGGTTAAAATTATAGTTATGGGAAGGTTTTTAAGACGATTTATAAAATTTTAAATAAGGGATGATTTGAGCATAATTTGTCAAACATTAGCATGATTTATAAAACATACGAATATGTATAACATTACTAAAAGTCAAACGCTGCATTTTCATAAAACACATTAGGCGTATTTTTGTTACCTCGATCACTTTTAAACTCCCTGTTTGGATATGTATTTAATTTAACAATATTGTCAATTTGCACATTTTATGGTCATTGACATAATATCATCCGGAAATTTTTTTTTTTTTTATGCGGGTGGTTATGAATTTGTACAACTGATTTTAAGGACGGTTAACAAAGGGTACAGACTTATTGCAAATATCATAATTTGACATTCTTTCTTTTTCATCAAACTCAAAATCCGTATTTAGGAACACGAAAACCATAACTAAAAAGCAATGAATAAGAGAGAACCTACATATCTAGCAATGGTGGTTCGAACCAGAGCTCGAGCAAGCAGAGCACTTTTCCTGAGCTGATCCCCACGCATGCTCAGAACGTGATCTTTCTCACACGGCGATAGAAGCTCCGAATACCGATTCATAAGGCTCGAACTCCTTATTTGGTCGGGCAAAACAAACCAAAAATGGGTTTCCCTGCAAAACCCAAAGAACAATTCAAACGAAAATTCAAACCAAAAACTACAAACTTAACGGAAATTGAATCCATAATTCTCGTACATTGGAGATGGAAGATTCACCGGAACCAAAGGGGATTGATACGATGATGAGGCGGGAGAAAAACTCCTCTGAAAACAATGAAAATTCATCGCGAAATACCGTCTCTGGTGTAACAAAAACATGCATAATATGGGGTCGAAGGTTCTAGAATCTATTTATGAAGCTGCAAAATCATCTGGAGCTCGATTGATTCAAGAATGTGGGTTTGGCATTGGGAATTATCGGAGAAGAAAATTTGAAAATCGTAAACCTAATTTCTTCGAACGATGATGATAAAGAGGCTCTTTTTACCTGAAAATGGACGATTAGGTAAACGACAATGTATTCCAGAAACGACGATTTAAGTTCGAAGTATTGAAAACGACAATATACCATAAAAACGACAAAACGGTTTTAACCTACCGGCATAGGTAAGGCAAACAATATCATGCCTCCCGAGTTTTGAAATGTATTAATATGCTTCTTTTTTTTCACGAGTCACGAACTCAAATTCTATTATTACAGTATTTATTTTTATAAAAATTTAAATTCTTAATACATACAAAAGTTAAATTATTCTATTATTACAGTATTTATTTTTATAAAAATTTAAATTCTTAATACATACAAAAGTTAAATTCTTAATTTAAGTTGTGAAATTTCCTAAGCCTTGAAAAATAACAAAAAGTCCTCTACCCCACTAAAAGATGATTTTTGTATAAAACACAAAAAATCGTTTCTTTTTATCACTTGTTCCCGATTCTATCTCTCAGCCATTTGTACCAATCAAGAAAAAAAAGATTGTAACTTGAACCACAAACAAAATTTATGGTATAACTTACAAGGTAGATACAACTACTAAATTATCTATTAGAGCACATAATAAAACTAATATAAAATACGATAATTTTATACTTTTGAATTTATTCCAGAATAACACATGAGCTGCCAATGTTCTCTTCAGTGCTCTTATAAACCGTTGACAATTAGAAATTTTCTGCAGATTTAAAATTTATATAGAGCCGTGGAGTAGCTGGGATATATATCATGTGTGTGTGTACGTGCGTGTGTGTGTGTGTGTGTATATATATATATATATATAATACAACGTGAATGTATTGGGTTAGGAGCTTTACTTCCAAAGATAGAAGATGGTTAACATGGGGTTACCAAAATGTCAAGTGAAAAAACATACAGGCTAAGAAGAACCAAACGTGAAAACCACACATGATGAAATCATACACACCACATTTTTACCAACACAGATAATGGGAAAAAGAAACCAAAGAATTGCCAAAATTTCTTCTTTCAACATTCTTTCCCCCAGAACAATAATCAAAGAGCTTTCAAGTTTCAACGCCAAGCTTCAACAAGCTCCTTTCTTGAATTTATGCGGCCAAGAATTCCCGCTTTCTTGATCTTCTCACCGGATCGGATGCTCTGAACTATTGTCTGTTCATTCACCTTCTTGGACCCTTTCTTGTGGCTTGAACTGCTTGATTGACCTGTTTTGCTCTTCAATGTGTTTTTTTGAGTCTCTCCACTTTGACATTTGGGAGAGGTGACTTGGGACACAACCTCACAAGGACAATTGTCAGCGAAAGACCGGTTTCCTCCAGTAATGATGTTCTCAATGGAAGATAAGAAACACGGAGATCCATCTCCAGTTATGGTACTTTCATCTTGAGTTGAGTGCCAAGAAGGGCTTTCTGGAGCAGGTTCATCAGTGAGATACACTTTCTCGCCTTCATTTCCCGCGCCAGTCTCCTCCTTGGCCTCTTTGGTGCATGGTTGGGAAGAGCTTTGGTGGCCATCCTCATCGGAAGGCCCAAGGCGAGTTTGGGGAGATGTTTCGACCACAGAGTCTTCTCTTTCTCTAAGTGTCCTGACAATGAGAGTCTTGAGGAAATTCATCACTTGGACTGCGTACATCAATGCAGTCAAAGCATCTGCATTCTGCAACAAGAAGTTAAGAGGGTAGCAACCTGATAAGTATTTCTTAAAAGAAAAGACTATATGGTAAATTAAGTCACAGTATAGTTGCCAGATTAATGATTTTTTTTTTCCCTATATGTCTCATAAACTATATAAGGAGCTGAAAATTGTTTTTTGAATCTTGAACAGTACATGATTGTCACTCACCTGAGTCATGTTTGGTGCAAACACCATAGCAACATTGCGGGCGTTCATCTTGTTCAGATGCTCCAGTTGCGCGACATCTGCCATGAGGTTTACTGCCCAATCAAGCAATGCGGCTTCTGTCTGGGGAAGGAGCCTCACAAGGTACGCACGCTCCTCTTACGATTGGGACTGCATCACCTGCTCCGGTGAGAGAGAGTCCAACAAACCGGTTGGAAGTTCTCTAAACCAAGCCTAAAGAATCACCAAGACATCATATAGGACATGACATAAACCATTTGAAAGTGCTAAAAAATTAGACGATAAGACGAAATTGATTTGGTTTTGTATAAAATTGTCCACGTAGCATATGGATGCCTCACGAAGTGGATTGCCCATACGTCCCACAATTAGGGTGGAAATGACTCGAATGTCAGACCTTGTTGAGAAGAACGAGCAGCTTACTACCCACCAAATGATCGGTGTTTCTAGTTGATAACATGAACCTCAAAATTCAACAATTTGGTAAATGATATGAAAATCAAATAAAAAAGGGGCCAAATCTATACCTTAATAAGGCCAGCCAAACAATGAACATCAATGTCATCTGGTATCACCCCCCTATTTAATTGGTCCCTAACATACTCCTCTTGGCTGTTCTCAGCATTAATTCTGAAGATCCCTTCTGCCTGCAAATACGAGTTCCAAAACTTCATTGTCTTCTATAACTATTCAGGTGGTTTTTCAGTTTTTCCAAAATTCTTATAGTTACACATGAATGGAACAAAGACAAGATCTTAGACCTTATTTCTTTCATAGGTTGGTTCAAACCGTTTTTACTGTAGTGTTTTCTTTCATAAAAATTTAAACAAGTTTGAATTTTCTGTTCAAATCTATAAACTAAACGGGCCACTAAACTACCTCAAGAGTAGTTATTCAATCACATTTCACTCTTTATTTACCTGAAGACCCCCTCGCGCATACAAATGCCTTTGCATCAACAGGAGTATTGTTGGGACGCTGTTTCCTCTGGAATCAAACGAAAGTTGCATAGACTCGGTAGAAACCCCAAAAACATTTGTACTTCAGGTGAAAAAAAGAAAAAAAAAAAAAAAAAAGTAATAATGTCAGTAGAATAAAACATGATGTTAAACTAAGGAGAAAAGTATGATATAACATGAAAATGAAATGCCTCAAGTCCCTAATCTTTGGTCAATTTAGAAACCAATCCGACTGATTTCCTGTATCAAAGAGGACATCCAATCCTCTCTCTCTCTCTCTCTCAATCTCTCTCTTTATATATATATATATATATATGTTTGACAATGTCATATCCTAAAATTCAGTTGTTTTCTTACAACTTACAAGTTGAGCAAATAATGAAGCCGGCAAAAAATTAAATTTGGGATAGCAAAATGTTATTGGATGTGGATTTAATTTATATAAATATGAGAAATGATTTTTTTTTTGGTCATTCAATCCCCATTCTTTGCAACCAGGAAAAATGGATGCCTCATAAGCAACCCAAACCCAACAAAAAATTCTTTTTCAGAAATTAACCCAACAACATAAATGCAACGAATGACATATAAATACAAATAGACACAACCCAATTCTCAAGAGAACAGAGGATAAATTTTTGGAAAACAAATCATCAAAAAGACTAGACATCTATAAAAAAAATAAAAAATAAAAAAATAAAATAAGTTTTTGGGCAATACTGACCTGGCACTAGGAGGCCTCCTGGGAACTTCAGGCTCAAACTCAACAGGCAAGCCAAGAAAGCCATTGAAGCGATCAAAGGTGACATGGGCAACATGCCTAACATTTGAAGGCCAACCAATCTCCATAGCAGAAGAGAACTTTCCTCTCTCAGTATTACTACAAGGCCCAATCAAAGACTTTCTAAAAGCAGCCACCAAAAGCTCCAAAACAGACAACTGATCTCCCTGATCTCTATCTCTCTCCTTCCTTTTTCTCTCACTAAATCCACAACTCTCTTCTTCTTCCTCTTCCTCTTCCTCTTCCTCTTCTTCTGAACCCAAATGGGATTCAATTATTTGACTGTTAATAAGGGCATTGGGGTCTGAACCATCACATGTTGTAGAAGAAGTAGAAGAAGAAGGAGAAGAAGAGCTTGTTGTTGAAGGGAAATGAGATGGGGATTGGTGGAGTACTACTTCAGTCATATCTTTTTTTTTGGTTTTGGGGACCAAAAAAGAAATTATTTTGTGAAGAAAGAAAGAGTCTTTCTTTGGATTAACTTGGCCAAAATTGCCTAGTTTATTATGATGTTGAACTATAATAGCCGGGATTGATTATGAAAGGAAAGACCAAGATTTTATTTCGGATGTGAAATGCTGAGTTGGAGTTGGAGTCGGATTCAAGGAAGGTTTTTGGAGGTTAGGACGTGACCATCATCACTTTTCTTTTTGTTTTCCTTGTGCAAAATTTTTTAAAAAATAATATATAAAATTCAATTTCAGGATAGATTGTTGTGTGTTGTTGTTGTTGTTGAGAGAGAGAGAGAGAGAGATAGGGAGAGAGTGCTGAGAATGATGGAGAGAGAAGGAGAAATGGGGTTGTGTTTGTGTATATATAGATATATTATATAGCTGTATATATTCAAGTGGAGACGAAAAAGAAAGAGAGTTTGGTGGTGGTGTTTTGCGCTTCAGAACAAAGACATCTTCCACTATCAATTAAGAACCTTTTTTGGGCTACATTAGCTATCTCACTTTACAAGGAGCCTATGAGCAATTATAGGCTTTATTGAAGCTCTACATTATATAAAGCTTGAAATTAAATTAGTTTCTCAGAGAAAAACAGAATTTGAATGATTTACGAGTTTTTTTTAATCTAATCATGGTATCAAGATAATCCACGTAAATAAGACTAAGACATGACTGTGCAAAAATAGTGCCCAAAACTTGAACCTTATTTGGTGGAAATTCTTTGGAGAATGCCCATATTCTTTTTGTTAGGTGAAAAGATTAGGAATTTTTGCCCCCATTTTATGTTGAGAGGACACTTGAAGTTGAAGATATTCGTCCTGGAGTATTAAAATATTGTCAAATAATTTTTCTTCTTCTCTTTAGGATGGAATGACAGGTATTCAGTTGTATAAATAAAATTATATGTTACCTAAAAGGCTAAAACCACATGATTCTGACAGGTTGTGCCAAAGGTTGAAGACCAAATACACTACGCCCATTTCATTAACCACTTATTTTTTTCCTTATTATTATTTTTTTATTCCTTTTATTTTCAATGCTCAAGAGCACTTGACACTAGGCTTGATTTAATGAAAACAGTTAATAATTTATGGAAATGCCAGAATTTGGCGTCTAGTGGTTTCCTTACAAGTAACATCCCTATACTTTTTTTTGGCTCAATGTTAGGATATTGTCTCCCTAAGCACTATTTGGTTCAAAATATGGGATGCTCAAATAGAATAGGCTGCAGCATATTAAAGATGATCATTAACTATTAGTAATTATGTCTCCCTCCTCTCCAACCATACAAGAGGAGAAAAAGAAAAGAAAAAAAAAAGGAAGAAAAATCAAAACCATATAATACTAGCATTACCATATTAAAGATGGTCATTAACTATTAGTAATTATGTCTCCCTCCTCTCCAACCATACAAGAGGAGAAAAAAAAAAAAAGAAAAAAAAAAGGAAGAAAAATCAAAACCATATAATACTAGCATTAAATATGGAGATGCAAACATGGGAATTTGGTAATTGACGTACTTCTTCATAATAACGAATCTCAGAGTTGGTGCAATTAGAGACAAACCAAGAATTAGGTTCTCCATAAAGTGTCATTTAAAAGAAAAAAATACCATAAAGGTAAATTTTTTTTTTTTTTTTTTTTGCTAAAAATATGATAAAGGTAATTAAGTTACGTTAATGGCATAAAAAGACAGTTATAATAACTTATTGTTTAAAAGTTGAAATTTCGGATGAGAACAAATTATCAAGCTTCCAAATAGATGAAATTTCGGACAAGAACAAATTATCAAGCTTCCGAATTTTTAACCTCTTTCGTCGGAGACGTTTGGTAAGGGGATTCATACCATGATTTGAATCATGGTTTATAGTTCGTTACAGTATTTTCTCTCACAAAAAATACACGTAAATCGAAAATAGTTCTAATCTCATGATTCTAATCCATGAACCAAACGTCTAGAGACTCAATCGATTAGAATTTTTCATCAATTGTTATAAATGATGTTTTAGCTGGTTGAGAGCTCAATTGTTGATGTATCTTTGTGTTTTCTTGTCACGAGAATTCGGAACACATTTTTATCCCTTTGTGCTTCATTAGATTATATTGGTGGAACCAATCGAAGTTAAGTGTTCTTAGAGAATGAAATCAATGTGTGTATCTCCTTAATTTAGAATACAATTACCTATTTCAGAAGAGAAAAAAAAAAAAGAAGTTCTTTAACATCCATGTCATTGAAAAGTGTTGAGCACTACGCTAATAATTACCATACACTTGGATGCGTAATTACCAAGCATGTGAACCACGTTCATTCACACGTTACAACTTTTTATTCATCTTTGGCAGAAAAGAAAATTTAAAACAAAAGTCTTATGGATCCACAGCAGACAGCTGAGTTTGGACCATATCAGCAGTACCGTTGCTCCCAAAGTGCAAAAACGATGTTAGAAAGAAGAAAGCACAAATCACCAGCTAATAAAGTATAAGATTCAGTTTTGCTCTGGCCCAGTACTGGTCTGTGATGCTGCTTTTTCAGTTCTGCTCTTGTGAGAAAAAACTCGGAAATCAAATAAACCAAAAAAGGGCCCAAATGAAAAGGTTCAGATCCGGCCATCCAAGCTTAAGTGAGTCGTTTGTTATATCAAAGAAACTTTAGGAAGTTCAAGTGAAGAGATCCGTTGGGATATTGAAAGTTCAAATTCAAAGTTGCCTAGGCGGGTCTTAGGCCATTATCCTACTTTTACACCAAAAAAGATGCACTTGGGTCCGTTCACTTCGCTGATTCGAGTTAAGATGTGATTTTATGTGAGAGCTTTTTACTGTAGCAAAAAGTTAAATGTGACTGTTTCTGAGAGCTTTTTACTATAACAAAACTCGAATTCTAAACTCAAATCGGCGAAATGAATAGGGTCACTTTTTTGTTTTTGTTTTTGTTTTTTTTTTTTTTGTGTGGATAGAACCTCCTCATCAATAAGGGGCACCGTTAAATTTGATAAAAATTACGTTAAATTAAAAAAGTATGCAAAATAGACAGTTTTTAATACATATTTGACGAATGAAAATACGAGACTTATGAGTAGTTCATTTTTTAAAGACCCTACTGGAGAAACTCCTTTTTTTTCCAGCGAGAGAAATGAAATCCCATAACTTGTTATTTCATCAGTTTATCTTATCAGGATTGCATTTTGGTGTGTGCATTGTATTGTTAGTCAGAGTGTCCAAATGTAATATGACAAGAATATTCAATGTTATCACCAGAGTCCAAAACCCAGATTTGCTCCAATCTAAGCATGGGGAGGGAAGATATGATACAGCAGAGAGGCCACGATAAGGATAAAGGATGACCCCATTTTAAGTCACAATCCAAGAAAGTATCCAATCCAACCTTTGACTTTTTTTTTTCTCATTATGCAAGAACTCGTTAACTGTAAAGGATCAAGACAGCTTACAATTATTATGCAAATCATGTAATCAGGAGCTTTCAACACTGAACACATCAAGGAAAAGCTTTCAATACGTTTGGAAATCCTTTAGAGGTACACTTCAGTTCGTTAATGGTTTATTTTTCCTAGGCCTTGTTAAAAGTACAATAATAAGTCAATAATGAATCTAGAGTAATAGACAACAAAAGAAGCATGCTTTACTCCAAACGACAGAAGCTTTGGCTGGATAAACGCGAAATATGGCACTCTTCAGATGGCGAGAGAGGAAGAGGGGGGGGGGGGGGGGCCAAATCATTCGCAAAAGCCATAATGAAACAATTCAATCATCAGAGAGATGGAAACACGAGGATGAATATAATCCAAGTCAATTAACTGCTATTCCATACGATTCGAAGTTACAATCGATACCATGAACTTTGGCTCCAGATCTATTAACGAAAGGAACTTGCTTAACCACCATCAAATTCAAAATTACAAAACACCTTCCTTTCCATTCTAGCAGTTATACAACCAAACTACATACCAGCAGAGAATACATCATATACTACCAACTAAAAAGCCGCACCTCACTGCGTTCTAACCGGTTCAAGAGCTTCAACAGTGACCACACTATTTCCCCTGATAACCTGTAGAAGTAAAATATTCGAGGACAAGTAAATTTCTCAGATTGTGATTAAAAAAAATTGTTGGTGTAATAGAAAAATGACAATACAGTAGGGAGAAAGTAGGGAAACCCACCACCATGCCTATATCAGTCTTCTCATTGCCATTCACTTCCACAGTGTTGTCAACCACAAGATTCATGAACTGATCAAATCCTCTGAGTGTTCCAACAACCATCCGATTGGCATTCAGCTTGACTGTAAAAAAAATAAAAAAATAAAAAAACGAATATTTAATCCAGTGTTAAAGACTTGCGTCCGCAATGTACCCAAACTGATGGTTTCTTTTTCTTTCACCTAATGATATTGTAAATTTTAACGAGAAATTTGAGTTCTAAAAGACCTACGTAATGCACATTTGAGGCGGCCAATGCACGCAAGCACTGATGGTAAATCTACTAATGAATATACCGCAAAGAGCATCAACAGGAACCAAAACATGGTTTTGAAACATGTGATTCGAACACCAAAAGAAAGTCATTTCACAAGTCTAACTTTTTGCTGTTTCTAACGGCTAAATCCCGTAATGCAGCATTGCTTTTAGATGCATCAATCAGGAAGTAAATTCAGCATGTTACGAAGTCCAGGAATTAACAGAAACAAAGAAAACACAACTAAAAGCTATATGCTTTGTTGCCTTTATGTAAAACCAGAAGAATTTCGACAGCAATGAATACTTTCCCGGCTCAAATGTATTATTTTGCTAATTACTACCACCGCCCAAATAATGCTTTTGAAGATTTTAATCTCGTAAGCAACCTAATACACGCCCTAATGAACCATTTTCATTGTAAAAAGAAAAGGAAAAAAAAAAAACACAAAAAAATCAGCTGAATGCAATATCCAGCTAAGTGGGGTATAATTAACGGAATAAAACAAGTAAAAAAATTTGAGTACCAAGAAATTTTAGAGCCCTAATGCATATTTATTCGGAACCCAGAATTGAAAACACGAATGTTTGGCAATCTAAAGCTTCGTTTTACTTATCAAGCACATGAAACTGGTTGCTGGATAAATTAAACAACGAAAAGAAAAAAGACAAACAAAAAGAGGGAAAGTTATTACAAACAAAAAGAGGGAAAATAATAACTTACTTTGAAGCTTCTTGTCCATGTATCTGTTTCAGAGAACAACAAAATTCATACTAGTTAGACTGAGAAAACCAAGAGAAAAGAAAAATTCAAAATAGACGATACAATGGCGAGAATTATGCAACAAATATATATATATATATATATATATACATGTGTGTGTATATATAACAAAAATCATAAATACGACAAACAAAATCGGAAAAAGAAGCTTACTTTTTGAGATCCGGTGGCTGCCCTGATCTGCTCATGGTCACGGAGAGAAAGAGAGCTAACAAAGAGAGAGGATTAGGGCAAAACAGCAAAACCCTAGAAAAGTACTTGGGGTCGTGTAGCAGAAGAGGAGAAGATGGTTAAAGAGGTTTAGGTTATTGCGGTGCGGAAGAGGGGAAGATTGGGCCGTATGGGCTCTAGGCCCAGCAGAATGGGAGCAGATGGACCACGCCCAAGTTCTCATTGAGGCCCAAAAAAAAGTAAAAATGAATTCATGTGACTTTGGGGTGTTGCGAGAATCGAACTCGCGGCCTCTCGCACCCGAAGCGAGAATCATACCACTAGACCAAACACCCGCGCTGCTAGATGCTTCTTGCTTTATTTATTAATCGTGTTCATTGGTATCGTTACTATTCTCAAAATATAGCTGAATTTCTTCTTGATCCTGAATTTTAAACCGTCTTATCAAGGAGTCTCACAACTACAATGTTATTCTAAATGTGACTATCTAAATTATTTTTAAATAGTAAAAATGCACTCATTTTTTATACTTTTCACATTTATTAAACACAAATTTAAATTTTATTCACTATTCATATTAAAAATTAAGTGCACATATAAACGTGAATTCAAACTATAATTTAAACTACACAGTTTAAATTTTTGTGTTCAAATAAAAAAATTCAAACCAACAAACTAAACAGTTTCGTCACTGTGCCCTAACGTCTAAATTTACAAATTTAATCTATACTAAATTGCATGTGATTCTCTCTTTTTTTTTCTTTTTTTTTTTGTCTGTATTTTGACAACCAGATAGATTGAATGTTTAATTTAAAACATTAGTCATTTTTATAATATTTTAAACGTTCGGATAGAATATAATATGCCGTATACTTCAAGCACTAAAAAAATCGATTCATTCACCCTAAAAAAAAAAAAAAAAAATCGATTCATTCCTAAACCTTTTATTGAAATATTAATTGGTTAACGTTTATAAATGTTGTGTTCCCACTTCCCACTGCTCCAGAGTGTTGGGAATGTCCTTTCTCTTTTGCATCAAACGAAATAAACACGTGCTTGCAATCTTAGTTACGAAATGAAAAGCTTGAACGATTAGGTCTCGTTCACTTCACCAATTTGAGTTTAGAATTCGAGTTTTGCTACAGTAAAAAGCTCTCACAAACAATCACATCTAACTTTTTTGCTACAGTAAAAAGCTCTCACATAAAATCACATCTCAACTCGAATTACAAACTCGAATCAGCGAAGTGAACGGGCCCTAAGAAAACACTAACACATATACTATACGAACGCACAAATGTTCTCGTGTGGGAGGCAGAAAGAGAGAGACGTAAGCACACGACATGCAAATGCATTTATGAATTATGATAATAATTTGCAATATTTGTTTCTTTCCTTAATTAGGCTAAATTTAACAAAAAGAAGCTTCTCTTGAGAGGCAAAATTTTGACTTTTTTCTATCTCTTTTCTCACATCAAATAAAAAAGAAAAGGAAGAGGAAGAGAAAATGATGGGAGGTGTGAAATATTTTTGTCAACTAATAAGTTACAAACCAAGTGGGTTTGTCCCATAAGTCGGAAAGAAAATGAAATATTGGTGAACAAAATAATTTGTCAACACTACTAAACAAGTTGGACAAAGATTGGCATTTGGCCGTGTGGACATAACCCATAAATGGGGATAATGGAAATGAAAGCATTGCATGAAAAAAAAAAAAAAAAAAAAAAAAAAAAAAAAAAAAAAAAACAACTAAAAAAGAAAATGGCCAATTTTTCTCTGCCATGGTTGATACTTAACCAACCCATTTGTCGACAAGGGTCATTCAATGAATTTAAACTCACCCATGTACTTTTTTTTTTTTTGTCCATCACCAAAAATCTTATAATGGATATTTGAAAATAAGTATGAATTCGGTGTAAGAACATAGAGAGAGTGCATTCTGGAGTCGGTGGTTTGGCGTCTAGCAGGTTGCCAGCCTTCAAAGTTTTTTGAAAAGATCATAGTAGTCACTGGCATCGAGTTCGTGTCGACAAAAGTGTGGGTAGTCACCGGATTGGTATCGTTAAAGGGGAAGAAGTCGTCGTTCTTGTCTCGTAGATCTATCACGAGTTCACTGTGGGATTTTGTTGAAACTCTGGGAACTAGGTCACGGAAGGGAGGCAAGGAAGGTGGACCAGCGCGTGTGGCAGTCGCCACCTGTCAACGACGGCGAGTGAGATCCATGCATCGCCGTGTTTCTGGTGCTTCCATTGTCGTTTCGGGTGCTTTTTTTAAGCGCGGCTCCTACCGTGCTTCACATATTTCTGACATTGAGGGGTTTGATCTTGTTGGGTTGATTTTTTAGGATCTTTGTAAAGTTTTAATAGTTTTATGTTTTTTATTTATGTCAGTGTTGTAATAATAGTAATAATTTCCCCCATCTACCGGCGTTTTGTCTCAGCTAGAGGGTGAGTTTCTCACTGCTTTGGTCTGTTTTGTGTGGCTTAGGTCCACTTTTGAATTAGGATGTGGCTCATCTTAATTCTTTTTTGTGTGGCCGAATCATGTTATTGTGTCACTTATTTTAAATTCTTTTGATACTCTAGAAGTATTGAACAACTCAAATTACTTCTGACAAGAGGGATAAAGAATGTTGTGGGAAGCTCTCAGGGATTATTTAGTTGGAGAGTTCAATAAGCTTGAACTTAGATTTGAGTTTAAACGAGTGTTCGCTTTATAAAAAAATAAAAAGGGAATTTGAACCATTATTTGACGTTTAAACTCTCAAATAAATGGCTTTCTTAAATCCCTCCCTTAAGTTCTAAAATACAAAAGTAAAATCATGCATGAGACCCCACAATACATATTTGCCACATGGGCTGTGAGAACTGCCCGCTCGGGACATTAGTTGTTTGGTTGAGGATTCGTACCCCAATTCAAATCATGGTTTATGATTCGCTACAGTGTTTTCTCTCATAAAAAATACACGTAAATCGAAAATGATTCTAATACATGAACCAAACGTCTCAAGCATTTCTGAGTTTTCAAACAACGTTAAAGGGAGCAACCAAAATGATAATTGGACAAAAAATTACACTTTTTTAATGCAAATTTTTTTACATTTTCAACATATCAAGAAAAAAAAATATAATTGTTTAATTGGACTGATATAATTGACATTTTGCATTCAAACAATTAGTTTTTCTTATAAGAAAATAATTAGATTATAACCATATTAAAGCTAGAACAACTATATTAATTTAACAAAAGTTGATAAAAATTTAATGGGTTACAACTAATTGGCTTAGAGCATGACGATCATCTTATAGACACTATTGAAAAGGAATTAATTAGGTTGTTTTCTTTCTCAATCTTTTTGACCTGTTTCCTAACACTACCAATAATTTAAATAGAAGTTTTCACGGCCGAATGTCGTACTCTTTGTTGTAGAGTAAAACAAAGACACCAAAAATAGACTATGAACAATACAAAGCCCACAAGTCATAAAGAAGTCCATTAAATTATTAAAGGGCAGTTCAGCCTTAAAAGCCACGTCAACAGCTACTTCTTTAAGAAGTCGACCGTTATAATAAGCATTAGGAATGAATGGGAGGTCGACCGTACCTACAAACATAGGTGAAGAAGCCTCGTGAAGCTTTTATGAAGTCGAGGCTACACTAAGATAGGGATTCACGTTATTTATTCCGAGATTCGTTATCTTAAATCTAAATATATGAAATTCAAACAAGAAAACCGCCATAATTGATAGTAATCTCTATCTTTCAGGAAACTATCGCAAAAGATGAGGGCAATATTCCAAATTTAAATAAGGAAACAAGTAAGGGCGGTGACCTAGACTATAAATAGGAGATTAATAGGTCAAAAATCCCCTAAGTCTCATCTTGAGTATTAGTATGTGTTTCTCCTAAAAATAGTGAATTTTCTCCTCCTCCCCACAGTGAATGTAGTTTTCAAATCGAAGGTGAACCACTATAAATTTCGTGTGTTCTTACTTTTGTTTCTCTTTTAATTACATTTTAGAGTATTTAATTCGGGTTTTTCATCAAAAAAATTTGTTATTATTCTATTGATAAATTTTCACCATCAACACTCGTCTTACTGGATGTGTACAAATACAATTGGGTGTGTCAGGCTCATAAAAAGAATTATTTTATGAGGTTTAACTACCATAACGTTTTTAAAATATACAATTTAACACTTTTGTCAATAAACGTTTTATTTTCAAAGAGAATATAACGTAAAACTGTATATTTTAAAAACATCAGACGAGAGTATCTTCAATACAATATCAAATTCATATGACAATGTCAAAATTTGACATTTGATTGAAAAATTACTTATCAGTGCAAATGTTATTTTTTTTATGCTAAATTTGACAAATACTAAACTTATAGTGCAAATTTGTGACGTAGTATAACGAATGCCAAATTTGAAATTTAATCATCACAACATCGTTTTTTAAAATTTATTTTAATATGAAAAGTCTGCTTTTACAAAGTTTTAAAATTTAATAATTATGATTAAAAGTAAATGTGGCATTTCAAATAGTGTAGTACAAAATAATATACTATATTCAATATGTTATTTTCATATTTTTTAATGACAAATATACTATTAACATTAGCATATATCTCGAAGATAGTCAAACTAAACCTTAATTCTCAAGGCCGACAACCGGATCAGTTCAAAAAATGTAATTTTTTTCATATTGTCATCTTTTTGTATGTATAACGCTAAATTCGCTTAAGCGTAATACTCAAAAAATTGTAATACACACACGTTAACATTGAGTATTACACTTAAAAAACATTAAATATTACACACACTTATAAATAATATTACATGAAAAAATATATAAAAAAAATAAAAAATGTAATTTTTTTCGTACTGTTGTCTTTTTGTATGTATAACACTAAATTTGCTTAAGCGTAACACTCAAAAAATTGTAATATACACTCATTAACATTGAATATTACACTTAAACACATTAAATATTACACACTTGTAAATAATGTTACATGAAAATATATAAAAATAAAAATATAACTTTTTTCGTGTTGTTGTCTTTTTATATGTGTAACATTAAAGTCCCGTTCATTTCACCAATTCGAGTTTTGCTACTGTAGAAAGCTCTCATAAACAGTCACATCTAACTTTTTTATTACAGTAAAAAGCTCTCACATAAAGTCACATTCCAACTCGAATTAAAAAATTTAATCAACGAACTAAATGGGTCCTAAGTTTGCTTAAGCGTGACACTTAAAAAATTGTAATTCACACTCATTAACATAGAATATTACACTTAAACACATTAAATATTACACACTTACAAATAATGTTACATGAAAATATATAAAAATAAAATATTACATTTATAGGACTTATACGAGTGATAATCCTCTATAACCATCAAAATAAATAAATAAATAAATCACCCCTTGACGTGTGACACTGCCCTGGTCAAAAGTGGCAATGATTTGGCTAATTCATCCATTGGGAGTCCGGTCCACGCTGGGCGATGGATGATGGAGAGGCCTAATGACTGTCTTGTAATGAGTGGAGGCACATCCACGTCAACCATTCCCTTCTTTTTTTCTTTCCTTTTGGGACACACTGCCGGCTAATTTTCTTCAAAAATTTGTGAAGACTTTTTCTATTTTCTCTCACTATTTTCTCCCCACACGTTATGGTCTCCTCAAAACAAATCTTTATTGTTATTATAATGATTGCTTCAGAAAATGTGAGAATATCCAATTATTCTTTTATTATGTTAATTATAGATGATTTCTAATCAATATTACAAAAGTGGAAGGTTTGTAGTTAATTTGCTTATCCACCATCACCCATCCAACAAACTCTCTCTATTAGTTTTTTTTTTTTTTTTTTTTTTTTTTTTTTAAAAACACGTTTTTGGCTAAGTTAAGTGAAGAGAATATGAGTTAGATGAAACCAATACAAGTGAAATTTCTATTATTGTAATAAACTACAAGAGGTCTATTAAGGGGCCCAATGTAATAGTTTTTCCTCTCTTTTTTTTTTTTTGATCAATTTTTCCAAGTTGAAAAAAAAATTGTAAAATTTACCCTCAAGAGTGCATGAGTCTAAATTTTTATCATTTACTCTTGATTAATACCCTTTTACTAATATAATTCTTTGACTAAAAAAATATTAATTTATAATAAGAGGTAAAAATTCAAATTCATACACTTTGTTTGTTTCATTTCTAAAATAAAAAAAAATAAAAAAAAAAGAATTTGTTAAAGTTTAGGTAAGACACCCTTTATAACTACTAGTCTACTTCACCCTTTTTTTTTATAAACCAATGAGAGAGACTGATGGGTATCTAGAAATAGGACACTACTAAGAAGCCAACATTACCAAAATAATATTTGCTAAGTAGGCTAGTTCGTTTATTACCAGATTAATTGGGTCCGTTCGGTTCGTTTATTCGAGTTTTTAATTTGAGTTGAGATGTGATATTGTGTGAGAGTTTTTTACTGTAGCAAAAAAGTTAGATGTGACTGTTTCTAAGAACTTTTTACTGTAGTAAAACTCGAATTCTAAACTCGAATTTACGAAAAGAACGGGCCTAAAGCATTGTTTCATAATAATAAAAACTTTCAACAACATTTTTGTTATTCCTTCTTTAAAAGTTTTTATCATAAGAAGCCAATGTGTTTATGGGCATAAAATCCTTAAACTATAGTGGTTGATTCTAATGTGGAAGGGATAACAACAAAAGGAACCTAACTGTTTTATTCTTTACATTTTTTAGTGACTGGATTGAGATACCACTTTTTTCTGAAAGTAAATTAATCAAACCACTAGTATAATAATTAGTGGTTGGTGCCTCTTTTTTAGCTACCTATTAGTGGTTGGTGCTAATTGATTCAAACCGAAAAATGATTCAATAGCAGTTAAGCGTTTAATATAATGTACACATAGTGGGGCTCCATCATTGTTATTACGGATTTTTAATTAATTTTAATCATTCACTCTTTGTAGCCATCCTTCAATTAGAGAATAATATGCCTTTTAATCATTTTAATTATAGCCAGAAAATGTGAAGGACAATCAAAATCCCTATCATCATATACATGTTACGAGAAGTGACACAAATAATTGATGATTATCACCTCCTCATTCCTGGTTAAAGGTTTAATATATAAAAAAATTCATTATTTCTAAAGATTATATAAATAAAATGCAACGTAAGCAGATAATTCAAGAAAGACCGTACGAACTCATGTGGTATATAAATCATATTTATACGGTATGTCTACTATAACGAGACTAATTTGAACCAAAAACCTTATCGAGCAATATGAGATTATCTCCATCCTAAAGAGTAAACGACCACACGACAAAAGAGATGGATAATAGATTAATAACCATAAATTCGTAATCATAGATTCCCATTTTTTATTTTTATTTTTTTATGTAAAATCCAGGTCAAACTATGACCATTGCTTAGACATTCTCCCCACTCGCTCGCATTACAAATAAGACCGTACCCCCACCCACCATTTGCCCATTAAGCAAAACCCGGATGAAACAACTTCTTCTTCCTCTCCAGATCTCTCTCTCTCTCTCTCTCTCTCTCTCTCCATCTTTCTCTCTCTAAAACATGTTGGGAAAGAAGATAGTGTCGTTCAAAAAACTGGCCAAGAAAGTGAAGGTCATGGGAGTCGCAGGGACGATGGACAGAGAGCCGACATCACAACACCGTGAGTGTCTTTTAGGGGAATTCGAAGAAGATGGCTCTCAAACGACAAAAACCCCAACTGGGTTTCTGGCCGTTTACGTTGGAGATGAGAGACAAAGATTTGTCGTTCCGACAAACTTTCTCTCTCATCCGCTCTTCAAGATGTTGCTGGAAAAAGCCTACAACGAGTTCGGGTTTCAGCAGAGGAATGGCCTTGTCGTCCCATGCAGTGTCTCGACGTTTCAAGAGGTCGTCAGTGCCGTCGAATGTAGCAACGGTAAGTTCGACTTTGGAGAAATTGTTGAGGAGTTTCTGTAATTTGTAAATTTTGTTGGGTAGAATAGAGATTACAGAAAGATTTTTCTCTCTTTTTTTTTTTTTTTTTTAATTAGTTCAAGGGACTGTTGTGGTTTTCTTTTGTGAATGTTTTTCTTTTTTTTTTTTTTTTCTTTTTTTGGGCAACATGTATAAAACATATATGCAAGTGCAAACAGCTCTTGAATCTTGATCCTCCTGGAGCTAGTTTTGATCATTTCTCTTTGTGACTCAATTTCCATGTTCCAAGCAGATACGAACTTTCTGTAAATTAATGAACATCAAAGAACTAGAAATTTGTTTCTGTAGTGTCCAACTGTCCATTTGAAAGTTTATATTATGTTAGAACAAAACTAATTAATAGAATAACTGGAAAATAATCATTACAGTCTCGTTCATTTTATCAATTTGAGTTTTCAATTCAAGTTTTGTTACAGTTAAAAATTTTCACAAAAAATTACATCTAATTTTTTTATTATAGTGAAAAACTCTTACATAAAATTATATCTCAACTCAAATTAAAAACTCGAATCCGTAAACTGAATGAGGCCTAAAATTTTAGTTGGAGGATTCAAACCGTGTGATTCGAACTATTTTCGATTTACGTGAATTTTTTGTGAGAGAAAATACCGTAGCGAATCACGAATCATGATTCGAATTAGGGAACGAATCCCTCTACCAAACATGAAAACTCGAATCCGTAACTGAATGAGGCCTAAATTAAGACGAGATGAGATTTTAGTTTAAGAGAAAGCTACTGTTATAATTACTATATGGAAGAAGAAAACGAACTGAGTATGAAGTTTGAGAACAAAACAGGGTAAAGTCAAAAAAAAAAAAAAAACCAATCATCGGATCGGAGTTTTTTTTTCTCAACCCTTTTTTTTTTTTTTTTTTTTCATGTTTTGCTTTTTAATTTTAAGCGGGTTTAAAGAATGTATTTTTCAATGGAAGAAAGAGAAGAGTTGTGAGAATATTGTCATTCTATAGAGGAGTTTTTTGCCAAGAAGCAAATATTATACAAGTGTTTAAACCTATAGTATATATAGTTGCACTACTTTCTTAACCTTAACTGGCGTTTATCTGTATCAGGAAAATGTGAAAGGATGAACTTCATTTAAGATACAAAGATGCCAACGAATTTGGCTGTGCATATAGAAGAAATATAAGGAGTGTGCCACAGATAGTTCTAGAAGTTTTTTCCAAGAGAAAATTTCATTCATTGCGAAATAAATGAGAAAGAGAGTTTCTTTATACTCACTAGTAGTGTCAATTTTTAATTGTTAAATCAGTTAAAATCATATAAAATTAAAAAAAAATATACAAAATTAATAATTTATAATACAAATTTAAGGATTAAAAATAAAAAACTACTAATAATTTATTTATTTTTATTTTTATTTTTACCAGAGAAGCTCCCAAAGTAGAGAGAAAAAAAAAAAAGAAGAAATTGCAGAGGGATGATATCATGATGGGTTCTAGCCACCTACTTTAATAAATAGCCAATAAATAAATTTTTAACTTATATCACCGGGAATATTTGAAAGATTTTGCTTGGTACAACAATTATATACTCTGTAAATATGTTACTGAGAAATTTAGAAAACATTTTCCACTTAATTCTATGTTTAAATTTTGTACCCTAAAGTTTTATTTTTCTTAAAGTTGGGTTACTCTTAGCTTGATTTAAAAAGAAAAAGGGTACATATCCTTATGAACATTCCTCTAATTCTGCCTAACGTTGTTTTTCCTCGATTTAGTCATTTATGTAAATATGAAAATTGAAATTGACTATAACACTATAAGTAAAGTAAGGTCCAAAATTATGTCGTTTATATGAGCCTATACAAATCTTTCCGCAATTAATGGGTTTAGGCCCCACACCATTTTGCTTAATTTTCTTCTTTTCCCTTTTGAGAAGTCATACATATATATATATATATATATATATATATATATTTTAATAATAACAATAATCGGTCTTAGTTGAAGTTGACGTTTTTAATAATAACAATAAAGAATGAGGGTATGAGTCAAGCACTTCACTCTCTCCTTTCTTTTTTGTTGACGAAGAAGCTCTTCATACAAGAGCAGCTCTAAACGCTGCCGTCACAATGTTGACACTACATATAAGGTAGTGAAAACGTAATGGCTTCCACGTTTAAGTTTCGTTCATTTTACCGATTTAAATTTTTAATTTTTAATTTTTATAATAAAAAATTCTTAAAAAATGTCACATTTAATTTTTTCTATTACAGTAAAAAATTCTAAAAAAATGTCACATCTCAATTCGAATTAAAAATTTAAATCCGTGAAGTGAACGAAGTTTTTAATTTGAGTTAATATGTGACTTTATGTGAGAATTTTTTATTGTAATAAAAAAATTTAATGTGATTTTTTTTAAAACTTTTTATTGTAATAAAATTTAAATTTTAAATTTAAATTGATAAAATAAACAGAACTTTATATGAGTGAAAAAGTAATAAGGCAGTTGTTTGAGCTTGCATAACACAACCACAAAAAATCTGATTCCATCATTTAAGCATTACACCATAAGCATGTAAAATTCAACAAGGGAGAATCACATTAAATCAAACTCAAAGAGTTGATAGAGTTAAACTAATACGTAAAAGTTGTTCTGATAAATTAAAAACTAATACAAAAAGCCCTTTTGTTTTCTAATTGATAAAATTATAAACTGAAGAGCTATGTAAAACGATTTGTATCGAGTCGAAGTCAGATTTATGGCTTGCCATCCTCTATAGTTCTTCTTGCCTCGTCAACTTTTCGCTCGTCTTCCAAGTGTTGAAGATGACGCAAAGCAGAGATTTCTTCTCTGATAATCTCGAGAAACTTCTTGCCCTCATGAATCTTTTTGGTGAATTTCTCAACCTCGGTTTCCTTCTTTGCGTCAGCAACTAATTTTTGCAGCAATGGCAGATTGAGGGGGAAACTGCCTATAGTTGACCAATATTCGTCTAACACAAAAGCGGTGAGCTCCAGTGACTGCCTCCGCAGGAGTAGTTTTAGATATCGTCCAATTCTCTGATTGAGATGTAACTTTATATGATAATTTTTAATTATAATAAAAAAATTAAATGTGACTGTTTTTGAAAATTTTTAACTGTAATAAAATTAAAATTAAAAACTCAAATCGGTTAAATAAACGAGACCTTAATGATAGTTCCCACTAATACAATCATGCAGTCATTGATGAATTTAGGATGAGACTCCAATTAGGGCTTTAGCATTGGATCCTCACTTTCGTACCTTTTGTAATAATGAACATGTTAAAATATTGACCCACTTCCTAACAATTTAAGTTTTTAAAATGGATTGATAACTTAACATGGTATCACAATGGGAGGTCTTGAGTTTAAACCCCTGTAATTACACTCTTTATCCTATTTAAATTATCATCATGTATTAAATTTTTAATATATCTTGAGTTTAAATATTCACGTGTTATGTTTTCCAATTAATTTATCCATACGATTGTTTATTTGTTCTCTCTACATGTGAGGAGGAGTATTAAAATATAAAACTATTGTTGATTTACTTTCTAATAACTTAAATTTTTTAAATGAATTGATAATCTAACAAGTGTCTCAGAAAATGGTTCAAACGGTTCAAACAGTGATATCTCTATTCGAGCTCGCAAAGCAGGAAGGTCTTCTGGCTTAACGTTCCATGACTCTAAAGGGGAGGGTAAACCAAATACATAATAGCAATCAGTACTACACACTACAACTCTTTGGTTCAGTGCATAGCAATACATATCAAATTTAAAGTTTAAAATCTTATCTATAATTACTTTATTAAAATTCAATTATGACATTACTTGGTAAGAAATATTTCACCCGAATTAATCACAATCTAAGGCCGCATTCGCTTCGCAAATTTGAGTTTTCAATTCGAGCTGAGATACGGCGTAACAGAAAAAGTTAAATATGATATTTTTTAAAAATTTATAATAATAAAAATTGAAAACTGAAAACTCAAATCGGTGAAATAAACGAGTCATAATAGTTGAAATTTGTAATTACATATTCAATAAATAAATAAAAATATCTCTAAAATAAAGAGAAATTGAAATAGAATTGAAAAAGAAGATCTAGTAAAAAATTAAATAAAATACCTTGATTAGTGGAATAAAATTGATTATTAGGTTGAGAATGAAGTGAGGATTGGGAAATGGCTCGGAAGAACAAGCGTTTTCCATCAGTTGGGTGGCGATAGAAGATGACGAGATCGCCAGGCTTGAGAGCCTTATCTTTGACAAAACGGGTCCAGGCTTGACGGGGGAGCAATACAATGGAATCCGGGCAGTGGTCGTAGCGGAACTACCAGGGGGATGTTGGAATCATGATCGTCTAAAGTGAGGATCTTGTGTTTGGTATTAAGAGTAAGGAAGTGATATAGATGGAGACATCATTGGGGAGTAAGAAGCTTTCTGATTATTTTCCGTGAGGAGCAGGTAGCTGCTCCAGGAGGCTTGTTTTTCTGTAGAGATATTGGTAGCGGTGGTTGATAAGTGCATGAAAATATACTTTTAAATTGTTCATAATTATTAGATAAATTAAGTTTTAATTAAATATTTTTATGAAATTAATTTTATGTGGAAGTATTTAATTTTAATTTAATTTATTTTGTTTTGTAGGAAAATTAGGCATTTGGGCCAAAACTATAAAGAGAAAGAGAAGCCCATCTGAAGCCCAACCGTCCGAGCCGCGCCAAGCCGTCCAAGCCGCGCCAGTCCATCCCCGCCACGTGTCGCTGTCTTGTTCATCGCAGATCCGCGTGGACCAGTTGTCCCCTTGCGCACGTGCGCTTGGCGCGCACCGCCCTTCCCCCTGCGCGAGTCTCCTCCACGCGCGCGTCACCCGGGTTTCCTTTCTTCTCCGCGTGGGTCCCGCGTTGCAGCATCCTCCCAATCAGCGCGCGCCACGTGTTGGATGCTGATGCAAATGTCGGCCACTTCTTCCCTCTCCGCAAATCCACTTGCGCCACGTGTCCATATGGGACCCAGATGTTGGCCACTTACTCCTCTCAGCCTCTCCGTGCGACACGTGTCTCACCCGTTTGGGATTCTTCAGCCATATGCGTTTG